CCTATACATTCGTCGCACCCTGGCTGCACGTCACTGTTCTATCTGTATGCAGCACAAACAAATAGGAGAGGGGACAGAACCTAGTCACAGCACAGATTAGTGCCCTCAATGAAAGGCCTCGACATAACGCCGTTTACTCTGACCCGTCACTTGGTATCAATATATAGTGACTGAAATGCTCATTCCAATGGGTCATTGATCCAATATGCTTCCAGATACGGCAACACCTTATTGCGCGGAATCTGGTCATAGACCTTCTCCAGGCTCATGTGTGGCGTGTTGGCAGAATGTCTAAGAAGTCTGCTTCGAAATCAGAAAGTGCCGGGTGTGGTTCCGACGGAGGAACAATCTTTTACCTAGCTACAAATTCCCTTAAGCAAGAAATTTGCCACGCATTGCTTCAGACCTGCCTAGGTCAGTTGGTTGAACGTCGAACTCAAAAACGATAGGTCACTCTCCCTTCTTCCGTCCGAGGTTAATAAATGAGTACCACAATCTATGAAGGAAACAGGAGACTACATGATGTGCTTGCCACATGGTTTTAGATTCTGCCTTTAAAGTAAAACGTTCATAGCTGATGGCACATCAACCAAGATCTGTACCGAAATGACAGTACCGACATTCCAACGGTGATAAACTCCTTTTCCTTATTTATCTAGGTTCACGAAGCACAGGTAGACCTTGCGAACCAGCTTCTACGATTTCCTGACAGTTTGGCGTAAGGCGAAGATCTATCAGAGGTGATCTGGCCTGACCTAAAGCTACACATTTATCTTGCTTCTTAGTCTGAGCTATTCCGTAACATTTCCTTTCTAGCATATTTACGTAGATTTGGCATGGCAAGCCCACTAAAGTAATACCCCAATAATTTTATTACTGCATATGGTGCCTCTTCTTTAGCAGAATCACTACAACCCCCTTTTTCCATTCAACTGTCCTAATCTTCGTAGCCATCGCAGTTTCGCATACGGTAGCCACAGCATGCCTTGTTCGCCTAAGGCATTAAGCGTTGCAAGGCTGATTTCTCGATTCAAACAACCTTTCTGCTTTCCAAGCCTTTTACATTTCTGTGATTTTGCCTGCTGAAAGAACAAGTGTCATTTGCCTGCTATTCTTCAAGTGAGTCTTCCCGAGGTTGCTACGAGTTGAGGAGTAATTCAAATTACTCTCTCCATTGCCTAAGTATGCCTTGCTAACAGGGTGCCTAGACTTATCCTTCAGGACCTTTAGACTGACCGGCCTACTCTCTCAAGAACGACAGACGATCTGCCAGAATACCTTGTTTTCCGTCTGGAATTTCGGCTGCAGCACCTCACCAAACTTGTCCCGGGGGTCAACTTTCGCTGCCGCTTCTGTGTTTCTTCGTACTGCATTCCAGTGCAAAGCTTGTTGGTTCCAAACCATCGCTTAAATGCAGCCGAATTCTCATTGAAAGTCGGTAAAACTCTCGGATCTACCAGGAAGTTTGTTTCTGACCTCCACTCGGCAGACCAACCCGTCTTAGATTACATCAATCGGCGGCAGCCATGAATACGCCGCTCTTATACAGCTTCCACTTGCTTCCATCTGAGCGGTTACCGTGATCTGTTCAAACCGTCGTGCGATGTTGTTTGCAGATTTCGCTCTCGCGTCCACCGAAGACAATGTTTCCCATTTGATTCTCAGGTTGCTTCCGCTACCAGATCTGCGTATCGTACTCCATTTCTTACG